CGGAAATTAATTTTTCCGAATTTAATTCCAAGGGCTTTCGCCCGGAATAACCTCGTTCCCAAGCACTACAACTTACCTATATTATCTTCTACTATGTTATAATCAAGGTAGTATTCCACTAACCTATCGGCAACGCCTCCAGGAATGATACGTGATATGTAGATTGGAGAATTCTGTTCTTTTCCACCCATTACATTAAAACCAAGTCCTTCATCAGTCTACGAGGAAAACAGAAACAACAAACATGTCAAGCGATGTAATAAAAAACTCAACTTTTTTAGACCTGATTTCTACCAACAAGAATATTACAAGTACTTTGAACAACAATATTCCCATTTCAATAGTATTGCTGAGGCTTTCATGTCCAGTCATGATATTAAATGTAAGATTATGGATAAAATGTGTAGATTTTTTAAGAACCCAACGTTTCAGCTATAACTACTAGCTGTAGTGATAACCTTCATCATCATTTCAAGTTTGCCTTTGCTCAGGATCAGCCTTGATTGTCTACAGAAGTGTACTTTTCTTAACAAGACTTGCCACACGACCATACATTTCTTTGTAATTTACACGTACATGTATAGTCTTCAAAAAAATTTTACTCCCAAAATATTGAACATATCATTCTCAAATCTTCAGTAGTTACTAAATAAAACAATTTCTCTATAGATTTCTGGAGTCAGTTTGCTTGTAGCTAGAATTTTTTTAATGCTAATGAGGAAAAAACGTAAACAAAGATCGGCCTATAGTTAGAAATAGAAGAAAATTGGGAATTCCAGAGTGGTGGTGGGACCTTTTCTTCAGATTTCCTTTATGGTGGTGTATGCAAATTTTTTGGAACCACACATTTAATATGTGAGTAAGCTGTGCCCTGATCTGGATCAAGTCTGGAGGATGTTTAAGGGTATCAATGAAGTTTATTGGTTTGACTGTCTGGTTTATTGTATGTTTTTCACCAGTGAGTAAAAAACATTAAACTCAAATATTGTTTAATGTCAAATAAATAATAACAATTTATTTTGTTTTTAGTGCATTCCACATCCAAAACAATATGGGCTACATATAGAGCAAATCGCTGTATATTTACTTTTCATTTCAAATCAATGAGACCCACAATGCATTTCAGTCTTGGAATGTGCTATTCATTATGTGGCATTTGGTTTTCAACATTTTTTGAAATAGCTGTATGTAAAAGTACTGTATCTAGATAACATACTTTTGGTAATTCTACGACTCTGGGATGTGCATGACCTTCACTTGCGGCAAATGCAGCAATAGTAGCCTGGACAAATAAATAGATAATATTAATTAATTACAAATGCAATACAGCAACTCCATGATCTTTGCGTAGCCAATATAGGGACAGAGGACTTGGATTCAAATTGGTATCTTAACAATGAGATGAAATTCTCGTTGTTTATAAGTGTAGTTGGCTGGCAGTACAATAAAATCCCATTGCTCTTGGAATTGAATTCTTTCTTATGTAAAACGATTGTATTGTTCCTGACATCTAACAGAAGCTTTCACATGGCTGCAGTCACATGATGGTGTAAAACCTTAATGGAACCTTAAAAATGCACTGTAGGTATTATGTAAGACCAAGATTGAAATTTTCATTAATGCAAGTTTCAAACTAAGAATGAAATCAAACTTCAAAAATAAGCTGAACCTTTGAACCTCAATGTAATGCACATCAAATTAGTTTGATTGTTTAGTGAATTTTTACTCATCATTTGTCATAACTAGCAGTCTCTTGTCCAAAACAACAATATATATTTTTACTTATGATGAAAATTAAAGCTAAAATCTGACGTTTCGGAGTCATCTTGACTCCAGTATCAAGGTTTAATAACAAAGTTTCGTCTCACTATTTAAATGTTTAACAAACAATGGGTATTGCCACRAATTCACAAATTAACAAAGTCAAACAAGAAAGACTTGATCTAATTGAGTCAGATTGTGAATTAAGTGTTGGATGGCGCCGGTCACGGATGAACAGCATCTCGTAAATTTTCCAAATAAATTTCACTTTAAGTAACTTTGTATTCAGATTTCTTCTTCGCATACCTTAGCTGTAGCTTGAGCCCTGAGTTCTGGACTACCTTGAATATCCACTGTCTCATAGACATGTTCATATACCTGTAGAAAATCGTAAATTAGCAAGCTTGAAGGTTTGTTTGAGCTGCACAATTCATGTTTGAAGATTGCATACCAGAATGAATCTTTAATAATTGATATTTGAGTTTATAGGTAAAATCAGTGAATGGATATCTAATCAATAAATCTATTTCAATTAATGTATATTGATCAATTTTTGTTCATCAATCTATGAACAGTCAATAGTCACAAAAGAGGCTGGACAGGAAGAGATAACTAGCTAAAAACTAGTGTGAGCTGCGTCGGTGTTTCTAACAAAACAGTAATGATAATGATAAATTATACACCATTATTCCTTCGTCCTTCTTTACTCCGACAAAGGACTAGCATCCGAAACGTCAGAAACGTTCATCTTTTCATGGTGTATTATTTACCCTTTTATCATTACTGTTTCATTAGAAACACCGACACAACTCACACTAGTTTTTAGCTACTTATCTCTTCTCTTTACCTTTATGTATGCTAATTGCCCATTTCAGACCACATGACATTCCCCTGAGAATTGTTCTTTTATGATGAACATTTTAAAATATTTACATATGAAAGAATCAACTCCCAACAGTGGCATCACATGGTCTGAAATGTGGACAACAAACAACCAAGCTAAAGAGGTTGGTTTTATGCAGTTTTACCTCTCTAATGGCCTGGCAAAATTCACTTTCAAGAACTTTCTTCAGGGCCTGTAACTTCTTAGGAGGAATGTCTCCAGCTGCAATAAAAAATTAGAGAAAATTATGAAATATCTCATAGAGGGTCAAACTACTGTATTTTTTATTTCTAGACTCTATATATTGGGTATACAATACTTTATAATCATCATAGGATACAACCATAAGAAAAAGAAACTACAGTACGTGGGAAGAGTTTTTTACAACGTAAAAGCTACTTACAGGTTTGAAGTTTCTGAAGAAGCTCAATAGCTCTGTTAACATCTGCAAGCCAACCCAAATACCATTATTAATTCAATAACAATATTTGATTTTCAACCATAATATCACTATCTGTCACAACCCTTAATCAGCAGCTCAGTCTCGACCAAAAACACTTTGGTATTAAAAAACTTTGCGGTGATAAAAAAGCGGTTTTTACACCAAGAACGTTATTTATATTAGTTTATTCCTGTCTGCATGTATTATTAAAAGCTAAACAAAAAAATCCTTAAAAAGTATTGATTAAAGTCATGTCAAGACGAGTCAAGAGCTAGGACAATGCTGCAAAATTACCGTCGCTTTCTGCCGTTTTTATGCAATAATTTCTAAATATTTTTGGTCCCGTTTGAAGGCAATGTATCGTTTTATATGTAAAGGTATAGGAGTTGGGTTAACTAGTACTATTTGGAGTGATAATAGCTTGTTTACCTCGGGCTAGAGTCAGTGGTTCGGTGGACGCCATTGTGAATAATATAGACGCTGCTTCCAGAAGGCGGGTCACGTGATACTGGATCTGGCGAGGGGTTTGGGAACGAGCCGAGATGAATGGGAAAGATATCATTCATTTCCTTACGGCGCATTCGGGGCCAAAAATCGAACTTAACATTTTACATTGTACTTTCTGGTTTTGTGGTAATAATATGTATTTGACCTGCAGCTTTGAACATATTTAAGTTTCGTTTTCATGTTTTACTTTCAACATTTCTTATTCTACATGCTACTTTTGCTATTCGGATACCTTTTCGATTTGACATGCAAGATTCCGTATTCTACATCCAACCGCAATCCAAGAGATAAATGATATCGCAAATAATATGTCATAACGCCATATTTCTACAGCCTTTCGTTTTCCCACTTTCATTTCTTCATTATTTTATTTTCTTATTAACAATTATTATAGATCCTGTCTTTGATCAAGCTGGAGAAGGATAGTTCATGTGATCCTGAATCATGCACTTGCGCCTATAAGACCGATGCTAGCCGGCGAGTGATAAACTAAGAAACGCATTTCATTTCTGTCTTTCGTTTTCCCATATTAACTTTTTTCTTGAATATTGCTTATTTCGTGCTATTTTCTAAGGTGATAATAACATAATCCTCTCCTCTTCTCTTTCGTTAAGAGTTAGAGGCTAAGAAAATAGATGGTTAGGTAAGACACAGAGTTCATCCGCTCCCCAACCCCCCTTCCCCCCTAAAAATGTACCAATTTATTACCCATCCCCACAAACAGTCATGGAACACTACGAAATGATAGTGATCAATTATGGTTTATTTGAGTAAATACCAGAAAAGCGATTATATTATACAAATTAAAAGCGTATGTGTATATATGGTAGCACCCAAAGGTGTTGTGATCTAAAAGTTGCGTTGTTTTAGACAGTCTAAATGTTGCGCGCACGACTAGATCTCGCTTTTTCGAAGTTCAAAAGAAAAGTAACGCTCATCGACGTGGTGCATCGTGGGGTTTAATCAAGGGCCGCGAGAAAACTTTTATATTCTAGCTTCAGTAAATGATTATGCAGACTAACTTCGAAGCTTACACATAAAGAACGCACTTATCAGTTCTATAAAGAGTAATAGTGAAAACTAGCTAATGAAGCCACTACAATAGTATTGTTATACAGGAAACCCATACTTGGAGCGTCCAAGTACCAGGGGTGGATCCAGGGTTTGGACATGAGTAGTTTACTCTGAATTTATACCCAACCCACCATACCCCTA